TCGCTGTAAAACGGATCTGGAGGTGGTGTAGTGACAACCGGACGGACTCCCGCCCATGCTAGCCAAGCCTTCTGTCTTCCACGGATGGTAAATTAGTAATAGATTCGTCTGAGAGGATAAGAGCACTGATTTGCACATCGGCTGACTCCCGCAATTCATTGTATAGGCACATCGCAATCAAAAGCCACTACGATTCTGAATGGAAGTAGAATGCGTGCCGCATCCCACAAAGGGATTGATCAACGGCGAAGACTTTACCTATACCTTTTATTCTAAACCTTATGTAGTTTTAAATTTACGCTTGTACACTAATTGGTAGAAGGAGGTACTTAAAAGACGGTGGGTGACTAGCAGATCTAAGATTTCTAGACTTTCCCACATAACAGAATAACTGAAAAAAAACTTGAAACAAGCTAAAGTCAGCTAAACCTTTTCAACAGCCCTGGATTAGCTATTCTAAAAAATAGAGCTGGTTGATTAAATTGGTTGATCAGAGACAGTGCACGCCGCTACCATCTTCACTGGTTTCAAGTTTCAAAGACTCTGGGAGGAACAGCGAACTGTGCGGTGCCGTAAAAAAGTAGAAGAAACAGACGGAAAACACTCAAACGAGTCTGACTCCTTTATCATTGTGTCAAGTTTAACTGATACCTGACCGCCAAGTATCAGTATCAGACACCTTGACTGCTGCCGAGTACGCAGAAGAACATTCCAGTGCTGTGAGGGTAGACAGAAAGGTGCGGAACTTAACTGCATAAGGAAAAATCCGAAGAATAAATTTTTGCCATGGATGAATCATTTCTCAGGATATGTTCCACATCCATTAACAATAAGAATCCAATCTTAGTGGCTTTTAAACACGGAGTGGTTTCTGCAATGTGTTACGGTGGGAGCAGCCAGTGTTAAACTCATTTTTTGATCTTCATTGACTATTTTTTCATCAAGTAGCTAACTTCGGAGTTAGGGAGCTTTGTTGTTCTGGCGGAAGCCAGCTCGGGATTTGACCGCCGCCCCGAGCACGTGAAGCGGCGCCATTGGCCACCACAGTCATATTTTCGGGATTATTGTGTCTCACAGGTGCGTGCGGTGGTGAAGTCCGCTCCTCCACGTGGTGCCACTGGAAACTGCCCGCTCCTGCGGGCTGAGCCGAACGCGGACACTCGAAAGCAGGTGACAGGCCTTCGTGACGGGCCGGCCTACGAACACCCAAGTCACATCACCAATGTGGTCAGACCAGTAGCGTTGTACGGAGCTGAATGCTGGCCTGCAACCAAAGAAGTCGAAGCCCGCCTTAGTGTGATGGAGATGAAAATGCTTCGCTGGACGGCCGGTGTCACGCGTATGGATCGGATTTGCAACGATGACATACGCAAGAAATTCGGCGTAGCTTCCATAACACATATTCGTCATGAATGACTTTGGACTTTTTTTGAAAAAAGTCCAAAGTCGTTACTCCTCTAGGAGAGCATAGGGTTCATGACGACATGTGTTTTGAGGTGACTGTCACGATATTATCACGTTAGTCCGATATCGCGGCGCGGAGAACTTTATAGGCCTTCTGGATCATGGCCAAGAACCCTAAGATCGATAGGAGGAGGGAAGAGTGTGTGG